CGGCCGCGTGTTTGGCTGTGTGCTGTGTATGCTATATGTCTGAGTGCAGTGCATGTGTACGCGTACTGTACGTGTTATGTGTGTGTGTGCGTGCTGTGTGTGTGTGCTGCTGTGGTGGTGTGTGTGTGTGTGCGGACGCACTGTGTGTAGTGTGGCTTTGTGTGTGTGGTGTGTCGTGGACTGGTGTGTGTGTGTGTGTATGTTAGGTATTGTGACGTAGAGTGCGTATGTGTACGCGCTATTGTACGTGTGTGTGTGTGTGTGTGTCCTGTGTGTGTGTGTGTGTGTGTGTGTGCTGTGTGTGCGCTGTGTGTTATGTGTGTGTGGTGTTTGTGGTGTGTGCGCCGCTGTTGTGAGGTTGTGTGTGTTGTGCTGTGTGTGTTGTGCGCCGGCCGCGTGTGTGCTATGTGATTATAAATATCGACTAATTATAACTCCTCCGTATGTTTATTCTATACTACTATAAGAAAACTTTTCATTTTTTAGTTTTATAAAAGCGTAGTTAACCACGCGTACGAGGTGTGGTTGCGACCAAATGGCTTTTAGGCTGCCCCAATCACTTTCTATTACGACCTGCGCACTACCTGTTCCGTAAACATGCAGCCTAACAAACAAATACTCCGCCACTTAATGGTTGGCATAGCTGGTAATTAGGGACTCTGGACACGTGCCTATGGAATGGCAACAAATAATCGAAGCGAATTATGCCAACTTAATAGGGATCAAAACAAAATACATTAACGTTGGAATTATACAAAAGGACTACACCGACGTAAGAACTTTAGCCCAGAAAAAAAACTGGAAGTGTGTAGATGAATGATCTCGAGTACATTTCAGGCATTAGTTGACATTCCCTGTGATTATGATAGCTCGTGAACGCATAGCTTTTATAGGCATGCCACCTCGTGGAGCCTCCATATAATTGTTGTATAAAGCACTTCGATCCGGAAGCACGGGCAAGAAGGAAACGATTAGTTTTCTGCGTCTGTGCGACCGACCATGCAGCTTCTGGACTCATGAATGGATTCTCGTATGATAACACTTATAGCACTAAATCAACTGCGCAGCATCGTTGAAGACGTACCGCACAAAGCGTTGAGCGAAGGGTTGGCCGAATTACTTCGGCTCAATCTATGCAGCACTACCAAGGAAGAGTGTTTTCATGTTCAGAAAGACGTTTGAAGCTGCTCCCGAACAGCAGCTGCGTGCTTATAGGAAACAATTTTACATAAGCATGTTGCTGTACGCGTCTTGCTCGGTTCTATTCACAGCCATTAAAAGTCAACATTAAAACGATTTCCTTCTCGAAATTAGTTCTGTCGATTCCCTCACGCCACCTATGAATAATAAGTTTTAAACTGCTAGGCAGTAACATTGACGATTCCCGGCATCGTTGGACCCGTCCTTCTTCTCTGATCCACCGCACGTACGCTTCGTTCATTAGACCACCGACGTGAATCAGTCTTAATGTTAAAGTACTCTGCTGTTAATAGCTACTCGGTTAAACACGCCTTGCGCAAAGGAATATTGTTTTAGTTGAAACGTTCTCTGATGCCCTTTATTTTTAACAAAAAGCTGACAATTGTTTGTTATTAGAGAATTAGTTTAAAAATTAATATGTGCGCTAATGATTTAGTATAATCCCTGATCTATTTGTTTATCTGCCTTCAAACCGCCCTATAAATTAGTTTTTAGTCTTCGTTACAGTAGGCGATTAGTTATCTCCCTGTGAAGTGTCTTGTGCATTGGGGGCTCTCGCCAACACGGCAATTCTCATCGAGCTCCCGCCTTTCACCTATTTTACGTCGCAAATTATAGTACATATTAAAGTTGAAGAAACGGCAATTACACGCACAAAAATACACGAACTGATACACCGCCTCTCGCTGGTTTATATGACGCTACAAACGAGAACTGCCAAATATCAATGTTATAATCATCGAAAATCCAGCTTCCATCGCGTATAAACCAGCGTATATCGTGTGTGTGTGTGTGTGTGTGTGTGTGTGTGTGTGTGTGTGTGTGTGTGTGTGTGTGTGTGTGTGTGTGTGTGTGTGTGTGTGTGTGTGTGTGTGTGTGTGTGTGTGTGTGTGTGTGTGTGTGTGTGTGTGTGTGTGTGTGTGTGTGTGTGTGTGTGTGTGTGTGTGTGTGTGTGCGCGTATGTGTGTGTGTTTAAATATCGACTAATTCACTCCTCGTAGTTTATCCTATACTACTATAAGAAAACTTTCATTTTTTAGTTTTATAAGCGTACTTAGTACACGCGTACGAGGTGGTTGGCCCAAATGGCTTTTAGGCTGCAATCACTTTCATTTACGACCTGCGACTACTTTCCGTAAACATGCAGCCTAACAAACAAATACTCGCGCTTAATGGTTGGCATAGGCTGGTAATTAGGGACTCTGGACACGTGCCTATGAGAAGGCAACAAATAATCGAAGCTGAATATGCCACTTAATAGGGATCAAACAAAATACATAACTGGGAATTCTCAAAGGGACTACACCGCGTAAGCTTTAGCCAGAAAAAAACTGGAAGTGTGTAGATGAATGGAACTCCGAGTACATTTCAGGATTAGTTTGACATTTCCCTTGTTATTATAGGTGAACGCATAGCTTTTAGGCAGCCACCTCGTGGAGCTCAATAATTGTTGTAATAAAAGCACTTCGAGCCCGAGCACGGCAAGAAGGAAACTGATTAGTTTTCTGGTCTGTGACCGACCATGCAGCTTCTGGACTCTATGAATGGGATTCTCGTATGATAACACTATAGACTAAATCAACTGCGCAGCATCGTTGAAGACGTACGCACAAAGCGTTGAGGAAGGGTTGGCCGAATTACTTCGGTCCAATCTATGCAGCACTACCAAGGAAGAGTGTTTTCATTTCAGAAAGACGTTGAAGCTGTCCCAACAGCAGCTCGTGCTTAAGGAAACATTGTTTACATAAGCATTGCTGTCGCGCTTGTCGTTCTATTCCAGCCATTAAAAGTCAAATAAACGATTTCCTTTCTCGAAATTAGTCTGTCGAATTCCCTCACGCACCTATGAATAATAAGTTTTAAACTGCTAGCGTAACATTGACGAATCCCGGATCGTTGGACCCGTCCTTCTCTCTATCCACCGCACGTACGCTTGCTATACCCACCGACGATGAATCAGTCTAATGTTAAAGGTACTCTGCGTGTTAAAGCTACTCGGTAAACACGCGCTTGCGCAAAGAAATGTTTTAGTGTTGAAACGTTTCTGATGCCCTTTTTTTTAACAAAAAGCTGACAATTGTTTGTTATTAGAGAATTAGTTTAAAGATTAATATGTGCGTAATGATTAGTAGTAATCCCTGATCTATTATGTTTATCTGCCGTCAAAGCCGCCTATAAATTAGTTTTTTAGTCTTCGTTAAGTGGCCGATTAGTTTCTCCCTGAAGTGCGTGTGCATTGTCTCGCAACACGGCAATCTCATCGAGCTCCCGCTTTCACCTATTGTTACGTCGAAATTATGTACATATTAAATTGAAGAAACGCAATTACACGCACAAAATACACGACTGATACACGCCTCTCGCCTGTTTATATGACGTACAACGGGAACTGCCAAATATCAATGTTATATCATTCGAAAATCCAGCTTCATGGTAATAACAGCGTCGTAGGAAGTGGACGCAGATTTCAATATATAACTAAGGAATAAGCATAAATATAGCAGGATATACATGCTGCGACCATAATGCAATATTGCGCATTTCGGTATTAGCAGGATATGACTATATCCGAATCAATTTCTAGCGGCCATTTCTTCGAAAAAAAATGTGTAGAATTCTCAGTGTTAGAGAATTCTCAGATAACTCACAAACCCTAGTGTATAGAGCGGGTCAGGTCTCAATCACAAATATCCTATTATACAGCTGATATCAGTCAGTAATTCAGGTACACTTTACAAGTAACTCATCTTGCGTTGACGGTGGAAAGTTACCTTATGAAAATACTACTTTTGTGAAATTCATCTTTATTTGCTCGAAACATTTCCCGGCAAACTGGAAAAACGTTTAACAGGATTTCCAGACAAACTAGAAAATGTGAAAACATTAGCAACATAGCAATGAAACAATTCCACCCTACGCAAATCACCAAGCATCATCTTGCCATAATTATCACTAAAGGAGATGTCATTGATCTACCCAAAGACCAAGAAGAACAACACTCGCACAAATCGACACAAATCGCAGGATTAGCTAACTTAATTACGAATTGATCTTTATTCGCAGAGTCGTACGTGTGTCCGTTATCGCACATTAAATGTGATAACCACAAATGTGTGTGGAGCGACAAGGTGTGCGACTACGTCGACGACTGTGGCGACGGCTCCGACGAGAAAAACTGCCGTAAGTGTATTCGAGTACAGATCTGTTTCACCTATGAACACCTAAAAGCACATATAACACCTATACCACTATAACACTATAACACTATAACTATATAACTAATAACTATACACTATAACTAACACTATAAAACTATAACACTATAAAACTATGACACTATAACAATATGAACAACTAAAAACTGCCGTGAGTGTAATCTGTTTCACATATGAACACACAAAACCCATAGAACACCTATATATAACACTATAACATTAGAACACTATAACACTATAACACTATAACACTATACCACTATAACAATATGAACACCTAAAAACTGCCGTGAGTGTACTCTATTTCACCCATGAACACCTAAAAACACATATAACACCTATAGCAGTATAAAACTATAACTAATAACTAATAACAATAACTATACACTACAGATGACACTATAACTAACACTATAACACTATGAACACCTAAAAACTGCCGTGAGTGTACTCTGTTTTACCTATAGACACCTAAAACACATATAACACCTATAACACTATACCACTATAACACTATAACTATAGCTATAACTATAACTATAACTATAACTATAACTATAACTATAACTATAACTATAACTATAACTATAACTATAACTATAACTATAACTATAACTATAACTATAACTATAACTATAACTATAACTATAACTATAACTATAACTATAACTATAACTATAACTGTAACTGTAACTATAACTATAACTATAACTATAACTATAACTATAACTATAACTATAAACTAATAAAACTATAAACTATAAACTATAAAACTATAAAAACTACACTTATAAACTTTAACTATAAACTATAACTATACACTATAAAAAACTAACAACTTTACCGACACCATAACCCTATAACAAATTATGGAACAAGCTAAAAAGGGTGCCGTGAGTGTACTCTGTTTTCACCTATAAATTGGCAGCGGCGAAAAACCGCCTGATGGATTTCCACTGTTCGGACCCACGATTTCCCGCGAAAAGCAGGACGTTTAAGCTAAAAATAACGGCTTTTCACGAACGCTCAGCAGACGGGCGGCCTCCTGGTTGAAAATCAACCGAAGTAAAAAGCTGAGTGCGTTCTACTCTTGCGCCGGTCTTCCGCGTGAAAGAATGACGGGCCAATTTGAGCGCGAGTGAAGCACTAGCGCCCCCACTCATCAAGCAAATATATATTTGAAGATTTCGTTCTCATCATTATATAGCGGGGACTCGTGTTTTTGCCGCTGATAAGCGCGCGTCTGTGTTTCTATTGATAATAAAAACTTCATACGCCCGTCGCATGTTAAGCGCCCTTCGATATATGAATTCGGCGCCACCACTTCTATGAATAATTGGAGTATGATAAGCTGTCTGGGCCGTATCTAAACGCCATGGCCAAGCAGCGTAAAAAACGAAATTTGGCCAGATTTAGCTAAATTGTAGTAGCCGCGTTCAAAAGACGTGTGTTTTATGGCAATTAAAAAACAAAAATTGTTAATTTTTTCAGAAGTTCAGGAGCATGTTGGTTGGAAGAGAAAACAGTGCAATAACACAGAGTTGGGCATTAATCAGTGGTTCTTCTGTGATGGCGAGATCGGGACTGCCAAGGATGCTAGGCGAACGCAAAAAAGCGGACTGGCAAAACCCCGATGGTAGGATTGCAAACATCACTAAGCTATATCCACAAAGCCACAACCAAACAAGCACATCAGTCACAAACACAAAAAATTATCATCCAATTATCGCCACGAGTAATGTCGTAAGTTCACAAACCAGGCGGACTAACCCTCCGTGTTAATATTTGTTTATATTGATAATAACAAAAAAACAATCGTCCGCTGCAGAATGAATGGAAGTTATCGCGTTGCTATAAAAAATGCACAAATAATAATGCAAAAAAATATATATGATGTAGAATAGAAATTCTACATGATTTCGATAGAATTTCAGCGCAATACCCGGTTAGATTTAGTAATTACGACGATCGCACAAGTTCTTCTTAAACTCACACGAATGGAATGCAACATTGCACAACACGAACTCCAGTCTATCGGATCTCCTGGTCATGTTTTTCGTTTATATTTTGCGCTATAAAACTCAGGCCACATCCAGTCGCGTGTCCGCTGTGATAATGAAAAATGCATCGCAGAAGCTACATTCGGAAGTAATTATGCACTGTCAAACGGGCACTTTCCATGGCAGCTATTATACTTTTGCAAGGATCGGCTTTTTTTACAATCAAAGTGTCTCGGAAGAAAGTATCCGGCTTTCAACAAAATTGAGAAGAATACCGATTTAATCAGACCCTATTCTAATAAGATACTCGTTGATTTATCCGCGCAATGGACGATCGGCGATCGAAACTGTCGTTTTCGTGGCGCGCGTCGGCGAAGCATCTCCTACTTTTATGTGTCTCTCCGTGAATTTCACAGCGTCGGCTGCACAGTTACGCGGCACCCAGGTGCTTTGTAAGCTGTCCGTCGTAAATCTTGCATTGAAAGTTCGCGCGGCGAAACACGGGCCACATGGAGTAATGCTCACGCTTTAACTTTGCCAGAATCTGTTGGGCGTTGCGACAATGGCGCCGGTATCATAGGACGCATTCGGCGTGCGATTGGAGTCCCGAGACTTGCCCAGAGGGAGATGGACGAAACGAAATTGTTACGGCTTTTTTTCGTTTTTTCGGTTGTAAAATCGAGTTAACATCGAGTTACGGCGCGTATACGTCGCCGTATGCGTTACTATATTCATGTTGGCCTGTTGGACGAGCTTGCGTTTTTCGCCGCCCTCTCCTCACTCCCCTCCCTCAACAATTTTCGTTCCTTTCTGTTTTGTTCAAACAGACCGCGGAACCGACGGAAGCGAATCTCGATTACAGCGATTCTTACGAAACGCCTTTTCACATTTACTTTTCGACGGGCGCGGGGGGTTGGGGGGTATGGTTGTGCTTCGGCGAAAATAACCGATGATATCTATACCGATGCCGGGACTGTTTTTCTCATGTGTGTGTGTGTGTTGTGCGATGTTCCAGGGCGTGAGTGCTCGGCTATGCGAATACCGATGCAAAGCAGGCTGGTGTTGAACAGCGGTAAACGTATGCGGACGGCATCTTGCGACTGCTCGCCGGAATTGTGACGCAATGAGGTAGGCGTGTACATCCTACACACGGCGTTCTCGATGGTACGGCTGCCATAATAGTGAGGCATATGTCGCGGTGCGTTCGGGTGGGCGCGCGGCGAAGCGAGCGAGGCACAGGGCGCGCAAATGGGCTGTCAACATCGTTCAGACGTTTACGTGGGTAAGAATGCGCTTATTTTGTAGAATGATAAATGACATTTGACGACGAAACGCGTAGGCTAGGATATGCCGTGCGAGCGTTGTGCCGCGTCTGTTAGCGCCGTGTGTCGTGAAGCGCGTGGTTGCCTATATTTTGAGCCGTCTTGCTATCCCGTGATTCGCTTAACATCGGTCTCTTCGGATTCGCATACGTGGTATTACGTTATAGGCCGCGGGTGTCTTCCTGTCGAGTTCATACTGCTTAGGATCCTCGCTAGAGTTGGAGGAGTTCGGCTGACGTGCGCGAGGAGTTAATTATTATTGGCATTTATTAATGCTATTTAATTTATATGAATTTTGATGCACACGTACAAATTTCACGTTATTCTAAGGTACGTCTGCAATCCAGCGCGCTACCGATCCGCTGCGACGGGACGAATATAGGCTGGCATCTCGCGAGGATCACGATCTGCGACGGCATCGGCGACTGGTCAGAGACAGCGGATATATCTTTCGAATCAACGACGAACGAATCTGGCGATTGCTGTTAGTCAACGTTTGTATTTACTCTAATTGCGCGGTGGTCATCGGCACCGTCATCGTCGTCGTCATTCATCGGTCATATTATCATCACCATCATCGGTCGCCGTCATTCGTCACCTCATAATTTATCGTCCTCGTCGTTCGTCGTTCGTCATTCACTCGTTCGTCCTCAATCATCATCCGTCAGCTCGGGTCTGTATCTCATCCATTCATCGGTCGTAGTACTCATCATCATCGGCACAGACATGTTTAATTGCACGAAAATTACTGTTAATATTTCGTTGCCATATCGGTGAACTACAGGGAATCCTGACGCGTTCATTTAAGTACCCGGTTAATTATACACAAAAATCATGAATATGTTAGAAAGACAGTCTGGGTAACACAAGACATTTCGCTTGATAATTCTTCCCTTTGCTATAACTAAAAATTACGGCGAGGACGGGGCACGTAAAACTTGACCGAATGAACCGTGACAATACCACAGAACAAACGGATATATCACACACACACACAACACACACCACACACACACACACACCAACACACACACAACACACACACACACACACACACACACACACACCACACAGCACACACCACACACACACACAACAGCACAACAACACACACACACACACACACACACACCAACACACAACACAACACACACACACACACACACACAATATATTAGTATATATATATACGTGGGTGAGATATGAGTCGTATGAAGAGGGGTCGGGTGGGGCGGATAATTATTCCTATAATGGGTAAAATAAAGCTGGATAATTGAAATCTCGAAGTGTTACTCAACTAATATAACGGGTGATACCCTGGCATGTCGATCAGTCGCATTAATATTTGAAACCACAAAAAAACGAAACTCTCTGTTTGTTGACCGGTGCGTTATGTCACTCACTGCCTGACACGAAAAGGCAGAAAAGTAAACCATTCGTAGTAAATTGTTGTGGTTATTATAACCCAGTGGCGCAGGTCATTGCGATATTCCTTTCCTGCAAGTTTTATTTTTCTTACGCTGGAAATACCTCGTCCCGCCAGTCACCAACTCACGGCCGTCTAACAACATTTGACAGGCGCGATAGCTGCCTTTAGGCAAAAGGCACATGCCTGCCACAAGCTTCTTTTATTAAATGGTTAAAATTTTTTTAAATAAAGCATACAATTATATTGCGCTAGCGTGCGTTGCGTGCGTGCGTGCGTGTGTGTGTGTGTGCGAGCGCATGCACAGGCACTTGGAGCGGTTTCAATAAAATATAATGCTAAATAAATACGAAATCTATTTACTACCAAAGTCTTCATGTTTCTCTACTCTTTTTTTCACCTATATTTTTCGGACGATTTCCTGTAAATATGCCACCCAAATGCTCATCTGCAGCACACGCTGGCAGCCGCACGCTAGCTGCTGCCACACTGACACGAAGTAACAGACAAGGAGTAGTAATTAAATACTACGCCTTGTAAATAATTAAAACATTTGTCATAAAAATTTTAAGTAAGCTGTATGAGTTCATTTATCTACTGAAGTATGTCCGCAGTGGCGGGATTCATGGGGTGGATTGGCGTGGCCAGCCACCCCCCTAATTCTGTTGAATGAACAATATTTTTTACACATATACTAATTAATATTGCCCCAGTATAATAGTCGCGCAGCTTGTACAAAAAACGTCACCTGATGCATGCGGTTAATTATGAATTGAGAAGCGAAGCAGATTACAACCTTTTGCAGCTTTTTCACAATTCCAAGAAAGTGAGTTTTGCTGTCACTCTCATCCCAGGTGCGTGGTCACCCCTACATATTCGATAATAAACGCCACCTGAACAATGCCCTCCCTCCCCTGTAACATCAATCAATAACCGCGCTTTGCAAGCCCAAGAATTGTTCTACTAAAAATAGAATTGTCGTAGTCAAGAATGAAGGCTGTAACATGTACTCAAAAGGTACTTCGAATACCATCTCCTGCGGTTACATCTTCAAACATTTTTCTAAGGACCCCCATACCCTCCCCCCCCCTGTTTTTTCAGTTTTGCCTGCACATCGGTTGCATGGCTAGCTTACGCCCCTGTTCGAGGTAGTTTATATCGTTGTCATGAAGTTTCGGCGCGCGCCGACTAGCCGAAAGAACTCAGATACCGACCATGACATGCCAGCGCCATTAAAGTTTGTCGTCGGTGCAAGGAATTTAATTCATGGCGCCTTTTTTGTTCGCTGACTAACAACTCTTATATGAAGGCGAGTCTTGACACCCGCTCACCCGCTGCGGTAGTGACACACGACGCAAATCTTTCACGTGACGCTTACGGTGTCACCGCGAAAGCACATAGCATATAGAGTATATATAGACATACATCTATTAAATCATTGGGCGCGTATGCATAACCGTTGACTCTCTCTCTCTCTCTCTCTCTCTCTCTCTCTCTCTCTCTCTTCTCTCTTCTATATATATATATATATATATATATATATATATATATAGAGAGAGAGAGAGGTGATAATTCAGAGTGCGATATAGATATGGGGGCGATCAACTGACCGCCATGCCGGTACAGCAATGATGACATCCTTGATTATGAGCTCCAAGTTATTGCTTTTGTCTTTTGTCACATACCTCGCATACAGCAAACAACACGATAGCCGACGAGGCGTCCTGCCCCGATCACCACGGTCCGTCGATCTTCTGCGACGGTCGATGTCTGCCACGAGCAAGCGCCGTCTGCAACGGCCGCGCCAACTGTCTGCAGAAGAAGGACGAGAAGAACTGTGGTAAGAATCGCCGCGGCGCATGCGCTTTACTAATTCTATCAAATTTGCGATGAAACTGCGGGATGAAATTCGCGATGAAACTTTCGCGGTGAAACTTCGCGATGAAACTTTCGAAATGAAACTTCGTGATGAAATTCGTGATGAAATTCGCGATGAAGCTTCACGATGAAACTTCACGATAAAACTTCGCGATGAAACTTTTGCGATGAAACTTTTGCGATAAAACTTTGCGGTGAAACTTCGCGGTGAAATACACGTTGAAACTTTTGCGATGAAACGTCGCAATGAAACTTCGCGGTGAAATACACGATGAAACTTCGCGGTGAAATTCACGATGAAATTCGCGAGGAAACTTCACGATGAAACTTCGTGGTGAAATTCGCAGTGAAACTTTTGCGATTCGGCGCCGAAATGCGAGGCGAGAGATCGATGGTCGACTCGATGGGGTTCTAGTGACAGCAGGTTAATCTGCGGCGTGACCACTAAGCGACACTGACGTCCATCCGCGGACATAAACTAGATTGCAGCGAGTTTACGTATGCCTGTATAGACGGACGCCAATAGTCTTTTGTGGCTGCGTCGCTGCTTGTTGGTGTGAGTCGATCTACCATGTGCGCGCTGTAATGAAATCGAGATAGACTAGTCTAGAAAATACTAGTATATAATACTATATAGTATTATAGATTATATACTATAGACTATATACTATAGATTATATACTATCGACTATCTACTCTAGACTTTATACTATAGACTATATACTATAGACTATATACTATAGACTATATACTATGGACTATATACTATAGACTATATACTATAGACTATATACTATATACTATATACTATATACTATAGACTATAGACTATATACTATAGACTATATACTATAGACTATATACTATAGACTATATACTATAGACTATATACTATAGACTATAGACTATATACTATAGACTATATACTATAGACTATATACTATATACGATAAACTATAGTAGTATACTATAGTATAGTATATAATCATCGTACAGAGACGAGGTTTGGCAAGTAAGACACCGTGCACACACGGCGGCGTATACAAACGTCGTACCATTCCTATTTCACAACGTCTTATGCGTTTGTATGTCCTTTAATTTTGTCGCCATGCTAACTCGTAGCGCGGAGAACTGGTCTGTTCATGCAGCTTAGCACATAAAACCACTCATAGACGGGTCGCTAGCTCTTAGCGCATAGCTCCCCGTTTATGGGCCACCTGCGCTTGCGTTATAGATATACTAACTAACCTTCATCAGACCGCCACGTTCCAGCCGTTTCTACATATCCATAATTTCCACCAATTTAACTACCAACTGCAACAACCAAATCGACCGATTTTAGCAATCTAGCCAATCTTCCTATTTAAAATTTCAGTTTGCATATAAAATTTAATATATATTAATGTATAAATATTAATATATAATTCGTAATTTTTGTAAGTACATAGGCGGCTCTTATACAAAATGAAATGATATGTAAATGACATTTTCTTTCTGCATATTGATTTGATTATGCTTTAAAACCCTACCCACGTTTTAAACATAAATATGCCTCGTTGCGCTGCTACGTCTAAGCTCGTGCATTTCAGGAACGCATAAATATTTTCACAGTAAAGTTATATTTATAGATGATGTGTGCGGGCTCGTTTGTGTGTGTGTGTGTGTGTGTGTGTGAATTTTGAATCTTGAAATGAATCTTGTGTATGTGTGTGTGTGTGTGCGTGCGTGCGTGCGTGCGTGCGTGCGTGCGTGCCTATAGGTGTCTGTGTACCTTTCTGCGTGCGTGCGTGCGTGTGCGTGCGTGCCTGCGTATGCGTGCGTGCGTGTGCGTGCGTGCATGCATTCCTGCCTGCCTGCCTGCGCCCTTGTTGGTGTGTGTGCGTGCGAGCATGAGTGTGTTCGCGTGTAAGCATTATGCAGTGTAAACAGTTTTCACAGTAACGTTTTCCTTATACACGTATTAGATCTGCTATGCAATGATACGCACCTGCAATGTAAAGATAGTGGAATGTGCATCGAGAAAAGTGCCTGGTGTGATTTCAAGATGGATTGCCTGGATGGTACCGACGAGACGGACTGTGGTGAGATATAATATATGAAACTCAATCAAATGTCACGTTATGATATTTACAGTGCCCGAGAGACTGTAATTTCGCAAACATAGGCCAGTCATATCTGTAGCTCTGCAATACATCACATAGAATAAAATAACGTATAATAATAATAACAATAATAATAATAATAATAATAATATAATAAAAGATGATGATAATAGTTATAATAATAATATTCATAACAATAACAATAATAAAGTAATATAAATAATATAAAATCTGTCAATAGTGATCGACAGAGAGTTGACGCCAGGTTAATTACGCCGCCATTTTTTAGACCCACTGCCGCCATGTTTGAGTGATGAATTCCGATGTGACAGTGGTCAATGTATACAGCAGGAGTACAGATGTGATTACTACCAAGACTGTACAGACGCCAGCGACGAAGGACCTGACTGCGGTATGCACGCAGACGTAGACACACACACACACTCTCTTTCTCTCTCTCTCTCTCTCACACACACACACACACACACACACACACACACACACACACATATACTAAATTAATATAAAAAATACAAAAGAATCTACTTTATTCCTAAGAGCCGCATTTCCCGTACAAGTTTAATATCGGTTTTCCGAATCAATCAATGTTGACGCAAGATGCTTTGTTGTCCTAGAGACTTCTCCATTGACACATTATTGATTTGATACCATCAGTTCAATGACACGTTAGCGCTCAAAGTACACACGAGCAAAAATTATAGCATGCTTTTTGCATTCGCTCGTATTGAGCCACCACGGTATCTGTCACTCGGTAACACGCCACCATCTTGTGATACCTTAATATATTACGTTATTTAGCAAGCGAAATATAGTCACTAGCAATAATCACTATCATTGTGATTCATTCGTGATTCGATAACACAGTACCATCTTGTGATACATTATATTTTTTGTTTAGTGAACGAAATAAGTCACTGGCAAAAACCACTAGCATTGTGATACATTCGTGATTCGATAAGACACTACCACATTGTGATACATTATATTACTTTATTTAGTAAACGAAATGTAGTCACTAGCAAAAATCATTAGCATTGTCATGCATTATTTTGTAATTCGTTGTAACTTCGCTGTAATTTAGTCATTTGTGACTGCTCTTATCTCGAAATGCAAGCGGTCGTTGCTCCGTGCAAAACTGTGCATATATCTCCGCTTTACTGTTTAGCGTATCCGGAGCAGGAGTGTAACTGGAACACCGAGATGCGCTGTGCTAGCGGTCAGTGTGTGCCGATTACAAGCTGGTGTTTGAAGCTCCGAGACGCTCCAAGAACCGGCTGCGCCGATAATTCTCACTTGACGAGTTGCAGTAAGTCCTAAACCGACTTTCCTTCGCCGTATTCAAGTTATTAATCCCAAATATCAAATTGAATTTTACCAGCATAACTAGATGCAAAATTTCGCAGACATTCTTTCCATATCCTCGCTCTATCTACGTTCTCGTTCTCACTCATTCTCTCTCTCGCTCTCTCATTCTCTCACTCACGTCTGCTCTCTCTCTCTATTTCTCTCCCGTCTACATTTCTCTGTCTGTCGTTCACTCTCTATCTCTCTCTCTCTCTCTCTCTCTCTCTCTCTCTCTCTCTCTCTCTCTATCTATCTATCTATATATATATATATATATATATATATATATATATATATACGTGGGTGAGATATGAGTCGTATGAGAGGGGTCGGGTGGGCGGATAATTATCCTATAATGGGTAAAAGCAAATGAGCTGGATAATTGAAATCTCGAAGTGTTACTCACTAATATAAACGGGTGATACCGTGCATGTCGATCAGTCGCATTAATATTGAACCACAAAAAAACGAAACTCTTGTTTGTTGACCGGTGCGTTATGTCACTGCCTGACACGTGGCAGAAAAGTAAACCATTCGTAGTAAATTGTTGTGGTTATATAACGCAGTGGCGCAGTCATGCGATATTCTTTTCCTGCAAGTTTATTTTCTTACGCTGGAATACCTCGTCCCCGCCAGTCACACACTCACGGCCGTCTAACAACATTTGACAGGCGCGTAGCTGCCTTTAGGCAAAAAGGCACATGCCTGCACATCTTCTTTTATTAAATGGTTAAACAAATTTAAATAAAGCATACAATTGCGCTAGCGTGCGTGCGTGCATACATATTGCGCTAGCGTGCGTGCGTGCGTGCGTGCGTGCGCGTGTGTGTGTGCGAGCGCATGCACAGGCACTTGGAGCGTTTCAATAAAATATAAATGCTAAATAAATACGAAATCTATTTACTACCAAAGTCTTCATGTTTCTCTACTCTTTTTCACCTATTATTTTCGACGATTTCCTGTAAATGCCACCCAAATGCTCATCTGCAGCACACGCTGGCAGCCGCACGCTAGCTGCTGCACACTGACACGAAGTAACAGACAAGGACGTAGTAATTAAATACTACGCCTTGTAATAATTAAAACATTTGTCATAAAAATTTAAGTAAGCTGTATGAGTTCATTTATCTACTGAAGTATGTCCGCAGTGGCGGATTCATGGGGGGTGGATTGGGTGGCCAGCCACCCCCCTTAATTCTGTTGAATGAACAATATTTTTACACATATACTAATTAATTATTGCCCAGTATAATAGTCGCGCAGCTGTACAAAACGTCACCTGATGCATGGGTTAATTATGTAATTGAGAAGCGAAGCAGATTACAACCCTTTTGCAGCTTTTTCACAATTCCAAGAAAGAATTTTGCTGTCACTCTCATCCCAGTGGTGGTCACCCCTACATATTCGATAATAAACGCCACCTAAACAATGCCCTCCCTCCCCTGTACATCAATCAATAACTATAACTATAACTATAACTATAACTATAACTATAACTACACTATAACTATAACTATAACTATAACTATACACTATAACTAACACTATTACCGACACCATAACCCTATAACAATATGAACAGCTAAAAGGTGCCGTGAGTGTACTCTGTTTCACCTATAAATGGCAGCGGCGAAACCGCTGATGGATTTCCACTGTTCGGACCACGATCCCGCGAAAAGCAGACGTTAAGCTAAAATAACGGCTTTTCACGAACGCTCACAGACGGGCGGCCTCCTGGTTGAAAAATCAACCGAGTAAAAGCTGGTGCGTTTACTCTGCGCCGGTCTCCGCGTGAAAGAATGGCGGCCATTGTGAGCGCGAGTGAAGCACTAGCGCCCCCACCATTCAGCAATATATATTTGAGATCGTTCTCATCATTATATAAGCGGACTTCGTGTTTGCCGCTGATAAGCTGCCGTCTGTGTTTCTATTGATAATAAACTTCATACGCCGTCGCATGTTAAGCAGCCCTTCGATATTGAATTCGGCACCACTTCTATGAATATTGTGAGTATGATAGCTGTCTGGCGTATCTAACGCAGTGGCCAAGCAGCGGTAAAAAACGAATTGCCCAGATTTAGCTAAATTGTTAGTAGGCGTTCAAAAGACGTGTGTTTTATGGCAATTAAAAAACAAATGTAATTTTTTCAGAGTTCAGAGCATGTTGGGTTGGAGAGAAACAGTGCAATAACACAGAGTGCATTAATCAGTGGTTCTTCTGTGATGGCGAGATCGACTGCAAGGATGCTAGCGACGAAAGCGACTGCAACCCCGAAGGTAGGATGCAAACATCACTAACTATATCCACAAGCACAACACAGCACATCATCACAAACACAAAATTATCATCAATTATCGCCACGATAATGTCGTAAGTTCACAACCAGGACTAACCCTCCGTGTAATATGTTTTATATTGATAATAACAAAAAAACATCGTCGCTGCAGAATGATGAAGTATATCGGTTGCTATAAAAAATGCACAAATAATAATGCAAAACTATATATGATGTAGAATAGAATTCTACATGATTTCGATAGAATTTTCAGCGCAATACCGTAGATTTAGTAATACGACGAGGCACAAGTTCTCTAACTCACACGAATGATGCAACATGCACACACGAAACTCAGTATCGATCTCCTGGTCATGTTTTTCGTTTATATTTTGCGCTATAACTCAAGGCCACATAGTCGCGTGTCGCTGTGCTATGAATGCATCGCAGAAGCTACATTCGGAAGTAATTATGCACTGTCAACGGGCCACTTTCCATGCAGCTATTATACTTTGCAAGGAATCGGCTTTTTTACAATCAGTGTCTCGGAAGAAATATCCGCTTTCAACAAAATTGAGAAGAATACCGATTAAAATACGCGATATCTAATAGAATACTCGTGATTTAACCACCGCGCAATGGACGATCGGCGATCGAACTGTCGTTTCGTGCGAGCGTCGGCGAAGCATCTCCTACTTTTATGTGTCTCCCGTGAATTTCACAGCGTCGGCTGCACAGTTACGCGGCACCAGGTGGTTTGTAAGCTGTCCTCGTAAATCTTGCATTGAAATCGCGCGCGGAACAACGGGCACATGAGTAATGCACGCTTTACTTTGCAGATCTGTGGGCGTGCGACAATGGCGCCGTGTATCATAGACGATTCGCGTGCGATGGAGTCCGAGACTGCCCAGAGGGAGAGGACGAACGAAATTGTACGGCTTCGTTTCGTTGTAAATCGAGTTAAATCGAGTTACGGCGCGTATACGTCGCCGTATCGTACGTATATTATGTGCTTGTTGACGAGCTTGCGTTTCGCCGCCCTCTCCTCACTCCCCTCCCTCAACAATTTTCGCTTCCTTTCTTTTTTGTTCAAACAGACCGCGAAACCGACGGAAACGGAATCTCGATTACACGATCTTACGAAACGCCTTCCTTTACTTTCGACGCGCGCGGGGGGTTGGGGGGTGTATGTGTTTGCTCGGCGAAATACCGATGTATTATACCGATGCCGACTGTTTTCTCATGTGTGTGTGTGTGTGTGTGCGTATGTTCCAGGCCGTGAGTGCTCGCCTATGGAATACCGATGCAAGCAGGGCCTGTGTGTGAACAGCGGTAACGTATGCGACGGCATCTGCGACTGTCCGCCGGAATGTGACGATGAGGTGGCGTGTACATCCTACACACGCGTTCTCGATGGTACGCGCCCATAATAGTGACATATGTACGCGGTGGTCGGTGCGCGCGAGCGAGCGAGGCACACGGCGCGCAAATGGCCTGTCACATCGTTCAGACGTTTACGTGCGAAGAATGGCTTTTTTGTAGAATGATAAATGACATTTGACGACGAACGCGTAAAGTATGTATGCGTGCGAGCGTTGTGCCGGTTGTTAGCGCCGGTTGTGTGAGCGCGTGGTTGCTATATATGTTAGCCGTCTTGCTATCCCGTGTTCGCTTACTCCGTCTCTCGGATTCGCTACGTGGTATTCGTATAGCCGGGGTGTCTCCTGTCGAGTCATACTGCTTAGGATCCTCGTAGAGGTTGTGGGGTTCGGCTGACGTGCGCGAGGATGTAATTATTATGCATTTATATGCATTTATGTTTATATGAATTTTGATGCACACGTAAATTCACGTTTTCAAGGGTACGTCTGCAATCCAGCCGCTACGATCCGCTGCGAGGGGACGAATAGGTGCATCTCGCGAGATCACATCTGCGACGGCATCGGCGACTGTCAGAACAGCGTATATCTTCGAATCAACGACGACGAATTCGGCGATTGCTGTGAGTTCAACGTTGTATTTCACTCTAATGCGCGGTGGTCATCGTCACCGTCATCGTCGTCGTCATCATCGTCATCATTATCATCACCATCATCGTCGCCGTCATCGTCACCGTCATCATTATCGTCGTCGTCGTCGTCGTCGTCGTCGTCATCGTCGTCGTCGTCGTCATCATCATCATCGTCGTCGTTATCATCATCATCATCGTCGTCGTCATCATCATCATCGCCACAGACATGTTTAATGCGACGAAATACGTTAATTTCGTTGCCATATCGAGTGAACTACAGGAAATCCTGACGGGTATTATAAGTACCGGTTAATATAACAAATATGAATATGTTAGAAAGACAGTCTGTGTAACAGACATTTCGCTGATAATTCTTCCCTTTGCTATAACTAAAATTACGCGAGACGGGTTTACGATAACATTGACCGATGACCGTGACAATACCACACGAACAACGGATATATCACCACACACACACACACACCACCACACACACACACACACACACACACCACACACACACACACACCAACACACAACACACACACAACACACACACACACACACACACACACACACACACCACACACACACACCACACACACAACACACACAACACACACACCACACACACACACACACACCACACATATATAATATATATATATACGTGGG